TTGTAATTTCCAATGATTATAATAATTACCAACCTATATCACATGTTTTACCCTTGAAACCTTTAGGACAGTCACAACTAAACTTCCCTCCAGTTGTAGGACAACAAGTTCCACCATTATGACAAGGATGACTGTCACAAGGATTTATTTCTAATGGAAGATAAAGCACAAAACTCTCATTAATACGAAGGTAAATCTCTTCTAGTTTTAGAAAATTGTAAACGTATTTAAAAAGCCATTGTTCTTGTGTTCTTCGCAAAATCATTAAAAACACAGTTCCTAGTGGGATTTAAAGAAAATTATTTGTAATTTCCAATGATTATAATAATTACCAACCTATATCACATGTTTTACCCTTGAAACCTTTAGGACAGTCACAACTAAACTTCCCTCCAGTTGTAGGACAACAAGTTCCACCATTATGACAAGGATTACTGTCACAAGGATTTATTTCTAATGGAAGATAAAGCACAAAACTCACATTAAAACCAAATTAAATCTCTTATAATTTTAAAAAATTGTAAACGTTTTTAAAAAGCCATTGTTCTCGAGTACTTGCAAAGTTATTAGAAAACACAGTCGTTAGTAGAATTTCAAGAAAGTTTTTTGTTATTTCCAATGATAATAATTATAACAAACCTATATCACATGTTTTACCCTTGAAACCTCTAGGACAGTCACAGCTAAACTTCCCTCCAGTTGTAGGACAACAAGTTCCACCATTATGACAAGGATGACTGTCACAAGGATTTACTTCTAATGGAAGATAAAGCAAAATTCACATTAAAACCAAATTAAATCTCTTATAATTTTAGAAAATTGTAAACGTTATTGAAAAGCCATCGTTCACAAATTCTTTGCGAACTCATTAGAAGATAAGTTCAAGTTCGTTTTCTTCTCAACTTTTTATTTCCAACATTCCAAGTCTTTCGCGAACAATTACAACGTAATAAGTCAGTAAATTTGTATGTTCCTCTTTGGTCCTCTAGTTTCCTGATCCCAAAGCCAAAATACTATTCCACTCGTCGTTTTCTTATTTATAATTTTGTTTATCTTCCTCTTTGTTGAACGGTTAATCTCTCCAGATTAAAATTGATTAATTTAGTTCAATTTAAATTGGCCGAAACGATGAGTAAGAATATTTTACTATGTTTTAGATGCAAAACACAAATAGGATTATAATATTCAATATATTAAATATAAATATATGCACATTACTGCAGTCTTTGTTTAAGGATTTAAAAAAAATTATTTGTGATTTCCAATGATTATAATATTTACAAACCTGTTTCACATTTATCACCTTCGAAACCTCTAGGACAGTCACAGTAATACTCAGTTCCAGATGTAGGACAACAAGTTCCACCATTATGACAAGGATGACTGTCACAAGGATTTAATTCTAATGAAAAATATATGACAAAACTCACAATAAAACTAAGGCAAGTCTCATAGTTTTAGATCATTGTCAACTCTTTGAAAAAGCCATCGTTCAAAAATTCTTTGCCAACTCATTAGAAGACACAGTTTATTGTAAAATTTTAAGAAAATTATTTGTGATTTCCAATGATTATAATATTTACAAACCTGTTTGACATTTATCACCTTCGAAACCTCTAGGACAGTCACAGTAATACTCAGTTCCAGATGTAGGACAACAAGTTCCACCATTATGACAAGGATGACTGTCACAAGGATTTAATTCTAATGAAAAATATATGACAAAACTCACAATAAATCTAAGGCAAGTCTCATAGTTTTAGATCATTGTCAACTCTTTGAAAAAGCCATCGTTCAAAAATTCTTTGCAAACTCATTAGGAGACACAGTTTATTGTAAAATTTTAAGAAAATTATTTGTGATTTCCAATGATTATAATATTTACACACCTGTTTGACATTTATCACCTTCGAAACCTTTAGGACAGTCACAGTAATACTCCATTCCAGATGTAGGACAACAAGTTCCACCATTATGACAAGGATGACTGTCACAAGGATTTATTACTAATGTAAGATAAAGCACAAAACTCTCATTAAGACGAAGGTAAATCTCTAGTTTTAGAAATTTGTAAACGTATTTAAAAAGCCATTCTTCTTGAGTTCTTTGCAAAATCATTAAAAACACAGTTCCTAGTGGGATTTGAAGAAAATTATTTGTAATTTCCAATGATTATAATAATTACAAACCTATATCACATGTTTTACCCTTGAAACCTCTAGGACAGTCACAGCTAAACCTCCCTCTAGTTGTAGGTAAACAAGTTCCACCATTATGACAAGGATGACTGTCACAAGGATTTATTTCTAATGTAAGATAAAGCACAAAACTCTCATTATGACAAAGGTAAATCTCTTCTAGTTTTAGAAAATTGTAAACGTATTTAAAAAGCCATTGTTCTTGAGTTCTTTGCAAAATCATTAAAAACACAGTTCCTAGTGGGATTTGAAGAAAATTATTTGTAATTTCCCATGATTATAATAATTACAAACCTTTATCACATGTTTTACCCTTGAAACCTCTAGGACAGTCACATCTAAACCTCCCTCTAGTTGTTGGATAACAAATTCCACCATTATGACAAGGATGTCTGTCACAAGGATTTATTACTAATGTAAGATAAAGCACAAAACTCTCATTATGACAAAGGTAAATCTCTTCTAGTTTTAGAAAATTGTAAACGTTTTTAAAAAGCCATTGTTCTCGAGTACTTTGCAAACTTATTAGAAAACACAGTCGTTATTAGAATTTCAAGAAAATTATTTGTTATTTCCAATGATAATGATTATTACAAACCTATATCACATGTTTTACCCTTGAAACCTCTAGGACAGTCACAGCTAAACTTCCCTCCAGTTGTAGGACAACAAGTTCCACCATTATGACAAGGATGACTGTCACAAGGATTTAATTCTAATGAAAGATAATGCAAAAATCACATTAAGACCAAATCAAATCTCTTATAATTTTAGAAATTTGTAAACGTTTTTTAAAAAGCCATTATGACAAGGATGACTGTCGCACGGATTTAATTCGAATGAAAAATGAAGGACGAAACTTGACAATAAAACTAATGGAAGTCTGTTATAGTTTTAGATCATTGTAAACTCTATTAAAAAGCCATCGTTCAAAAATTCTTTGCGAACTCATTTGAAGACACAGTTTATAGTAGAATTTTAAGAAAATTATTTGTGATTTCCAATGATTTTAATATTTACCAACCTATATCACATGTTTTACCCTTGAAACCTCTAGGACAGTCACAGTAATACTCCATTCCAGTTGTAGGACAACAAGTTCCACCATTATGACAAGGATGACTGTCACAAGGATCTAATTTTAATGAAAAATAAAGGATAAAACTCTCAATAAAACTAAGGCAAGTCTCCTAAAGTTATAGAAAATTGTAAACGTAATCAAAAAGCCATTGTACACAAATTCAAGTTGTAGCAAAAATTCCAGCAAAACTCACATTAAGATTTGGAAATAGTTTTAAAATTGCAAAAAAATTTTAAAGTCTTTTGATGGTGGCACTTCCAAAAAAAATATTTGATTTCCAATGATAATAATAATTACAAACCTGGATCACATGGTTCATCTTCAGGAATTGATTCTAATGAAAAATAAAAGACAAAAATCACATTTAATCTCTTATAGTTTTAGAAAATCGTTAACGTTTTTAAAGAGCCATTGTATTTGAAATATACCCATTAGAAACAAAGTTCGTTGTGGAATTTCAAATTATTTCTGATTTCGAATGGTAATAATAATTACAAATCTATACAATTTTCAGTCGAAATGTCTCAAGCTTCACCATTTATACAAACAACATAGGTACAAATATCACCTACTTATGGATAATAAAGATAATACGCCCACACAGAAGCTGTATTGATTTTTTTCTTTTAATAATTTACCATTATGATTCATGTTTAATCGGTCTTGTTATAAGCAATACACCTTTCCAAAAGTGTTTTCGAATTAAAATCTAAATTACATCAAAATAAATTGATAACTGTGGCGTCTGTCTTTGAGTCTTGTAAATAAGTCAATGTCTAAAAAAAAACATATTTAAATTCATCCCAAATAAAGATCGTAAGTTCAAACCGAGCTGTTTGAAAATTAGAGGTCCGCAGATTTACGGACTAAAGGAATGAAGTACATATTGACGAAATCCTCAAAATAATATTCTGGCAGGGAAAGCACATCAATGAGTAGTTTGTACAGAAAACTGAGGTCACATAGCCCAATTCTTCTATTAAACATTAAATTAGAGTGAAATTACAAAAATACTTTGGGCATTGAACTTTTTGACAAGGAATTTTTTAAATGTTGCCATTTCAAAGTGTTTTAAACTACGAAGCGAACATTTTGTAAAGAGAAGCCTAATACATTCAGAATAATGAGGTTACAATTTTATGACCATAGCTTTGATACGGTAATAATAACCCTGGATTGAAAAGTTCATAGGTCAGATATCAAATTAAAGAAAGACAAATCTGTTTCTAATCATTTCAACTTGAACGACCATTCATCAGACGATCTTATCTTAACCCCCATTGAGCGCATAGTGATCTATCTGCCATAAGATGAAACTTTGAAATTCCGTTAAGCTAGGGAAACCCATTGGATTGAGACACTAAACGCAGCAAGGCCGATCGAACTGAATATTCGTCATAATGCAAGCATAGCACTATTTGTTCAATACCACCAGCAATCGAGAAGGGAGGAAAGCCAAGCCCATTTTGAGAATCTGCATGAGAAATTCCTCCATGTCTAAACAGTTCAGTAGCCATAGAGACATAAAGTTCTTTGGTCAGACGAAGCTTAACTTTACAATTGCCATCTGTATTCAGGGTCGTAAGAACAAACAAAGGGGGTGGGGGGTCTATGGACTAACATAGACAGTCACATTTCCATCAGAGACACGTAAAATACTGTATGGGAAGAAAGAACCCTTTTTTACACGGATAACTACCCTACCCAATCATCTCGGCATTGATCCCCCGTCCGTAGGTAAAATGAGAAGAAATGACTATCCTCCAACCCAGATTTGCGAAAGCACAACGTTTCCTGTAATTAATCATAATTTTACAAGAGAATGATCCGGTTTCCGGAATGTTGTCGTTACCTGAAAATGTTCTAACCTTGGACGAGTTATTATTAGATAAGAAAGAAGAAAAATACCCCGCAGTTCTAGACTAAAATTGTTTAAATTACCAATTTTTGTGCCCTACAAAACCGGATGTAATGTACCAAAATTAAAAGTCTAAGGTATCACTTATAGCCAAAGGAGATATTATGGTAGAAAAATGAATGTTGTGTCAAGAGTTACGAGACGAGACGAAATCGATATTCAAAAGGGGACCTCGGTAATTATCCAAATTTCATTCAAAATCAAGTTTTAAACAAATCGGCGTCTGCAATAATTTTTTTTCAGTTAATTTTCTTTTACAAAGATGGTGGCTCAACGGTTAAGATTTTGCATACACGACAAGATGCAAATTGAACATATTGCCTTTTTGGTCATTTTCAGCTGTTAAAATGCTAATTGAAAAATCGGTCTCAACTCGTGGAAATCGGATAAGAGTTTTAATTACAGAAGGTTACCCTTTAACAATCGATCTTAGACCACAGACTCAAGTTTTTACATCTATATAAACGAAACCCCAAAGGAACATTTTGTCGAAACATTAGTAGCAGCCAATGACCTTTTCAACAGTCTTAATGGCACGGGAGTAGCTCAAACAATTTTAGGGATTATATTCATTAAAATCGTATGACATTATAAAAACAAACGTCCATCACGAAAAGGAAAAAAATTCATTTGATCGTGTTAGAATGTCACGGTTTTTCAGCTGAACCCCGAGCTGCAAGAGTAGCTTAATGTTTGACAGAATTCGACTTTTGCCTGTACGAAACTAAGTGTCAAACTTATTTTTAAAAATAGGTCATCACTCGCCCCTTTCAAAGTTAATCACTAATCGTGTATTCTTTAAAAATATCACATTTTCTGATAGTTTGAATTTCAATTTTAAGTTGTTTGTATAGAAATTGTTTAAAATAATACTTCAGAATGCAAATATAAACTCGTTAATTTAAACCATATTATAGCAAAATCCATGAAGAAGTCGTAATTAACTGAAGTTTCATCCAAGTTAGTCACACATTAATCACAACGACAAGGTCTAGTATTAATTATCATGCATGCGGATGATACCGTGCTTTTGTGCGAAACTCAGGAGAAGTTATAAGATATGTTAAACGTAGTAAGCAGCTGCTCTCAAGTTAATAATGTTAATGTCAGTACGACAAAAATTGTAAATTTTAGAAACTCTGGAAACGAGTATTGGGTTTATGAAAATAATTTAATTCAAATTGTTAATTCTTTTCATTACGTTGGTATTGTTTTCAATTAGATCAGTCGACTTAATAACACACAAATTAGATCAGTCGACTTAACAAACAAAAAATACATTTAGAATTTAAAAAAAATTATGTATGAAAATCATTTTAATATTGCATGGAACCGCGGTGGTTCTGTGAGTTAGACGTTTGGCCGCTAACATGAAGGTCCAGGGATCAATCCCGGCAAAGGTCGAGACAGTACCTTCAGATTTTTCAACCAGGTTTCCCCTGTCAGTGATGCAGGTAAGAGAGGCTTATTTGGAAAAAGCGTCTAGTCGTTCGGATGGATCAATAAACCGAGGTCCCGTGTGCTACAGGCTGTGAACGTTAAAGATCCTTGACAGTTGGACATCGAAATAGAGCAGTTTAATGTCGCTGTCCTGGTAAAATGTCTTCATCATGGTGCGGAAAAGTAGGACGTAAAACTCATTCATTTCATTTCATATTGTAACATTTTTGTCATTATTCGATACTTATCTTGGTCTTGTTTTAAACTATGGTAAAGAATTACGGGGTATACACTCTGCTGACATAGAAAAGGACAAAGTAAATTCTGTCAAAATATTCTGGGTTCAGACCTTTGACAACCGATAATAATGTATATTTTGAAAAATTAGTAAAAAGAATATTAATATTTACAAATTAATATTAAAAACTATTGGTTAAATGAAATCACCTGAAGGAATGTTGTCCCAAAAGCATGTTATACTTGTATAGATTCGTTTTACAATGAAAATGAAATAGAGGACGAATACCATTTTATTTCAGTCTGGTCATCGTTCCACACCCTCCAGATGTGTTTTATCAATAAATACTGTTTCCAGATGTATTTTATCAATAAATACTATATTTAAATAACCCATCTGATAACCTTATTGAATTGAATAAATATTAATGTTCTTAAAAAAACATGGTAATTTTTTTTGTATTTTGCTACTGCGAAACGAAATAACAAGTATATATTATATTGATATTATATTTTGGAGTATTGATGCTATTTTATTATCTTTTATATATTTATATGCACCGCCCTCTCTTGATATATTTATGTTAATGTCGTTATGGTTATGTCTCTCTTTGAATACGACAATAAAACAATCCACCCTCCACCCCAAAGCCCAAAACAAATATTTTAAAAACTGCCAAAATTTGAATCAAGACGTCTGATTTACTTACACAAAATATTAATAAAAGCATACCGACGGAATATTATTTGAGATGCTGATACAGTACTTAATTTGAAAAGAAACGTATACATACCTCCTAAGACCCCAAAGGGTAGACATATCAGCACTATGTAAATTGCCCACATACTTCAAGCTGACAATGCACAAAGATTCATGGGATATCGATGATATTATATATCAATTGAAGGTCGTAAATTATTATTTATTTTAAAAAATAAAATTGTGCGATTTTTTAGAAAGAATAGTTGTTGAATTAAAGGGACATTCTCTTCTTAATAAACTGAATTAATTTAAGGACAGTAGAATAGAAATTTTTAATTTACAAAGTGGTACAGGAAATTGTCATCTTAATTCCTATTAAATTCTTAATGCTTTTGATAATTTGTGAGGATCCAAATAGAAATTAATATCTTTCACTTAATGGGTCACAGGAAACAAGAAGAAAGACACGTCATGTAAATAATGAGAATAATCCGCGGTTTGAAGATGGTGGAGGGATAATAATGTGTCATGTAAATAATGTGAATAATCTGCTTAACAAAGAGTAACAACATTCCGAATTCGCCACTTTATGGAGTGTATGTCTCAATGGGTTTGAACTCTAAAGGATGTTCTTTCTACGCTTATTTATTAGCCAGACCGCAACATTTAATATCTAAGCTCTAACTACCAAATCGACACAAAATTTCCCTATAGAAATTTTACAGCCGCCATCATGAACTAATTGAATAATAAAAAATATCTGTTTCTGCTATCATCGCAGATGTGTT